ACCCAATCAAGCAGCCGTCCAGTCGGGAGATGAGACCCTCGTGAGAGAATCAAGATCCTTCTGAAGGTCCTGAACTATTTTTCAACTTGGCCATGTGAACGATTAAGAGCCTTGAACGCAATGAAATGTGATTGCCACATAAAATTTGATTTTTCACTGTGTATTTCATATACGACATGAATTACTCGCTGAAAGTAAAACTGCAACACGTAAAAATAAAAAATTGTGCACGTCTGATAACCACATATATCGTCCAGCATAATGAAAAGAGACTGTGACCATGTTTTGGTAATTACAAGTATTCGAAAACCAAAATTGTATCCCTATCTCTTTGTATTATCTTAAACAATATACATTAATCTCTGATCCGCAAGATTTTTATTTTTAGGTGTTGCGATTTCTCCTTTGTGTGTGTGTGGATTATCAGAAGTTTTGCAGACTTGTCGTTATTTTGTAAATCGCGTAAAACAAAGTCTGCGGCCTTTGTTTCTTGCAAAGCCGATAAGAGTACTCGTTCAGGCTTCCTTAAAATTATGCAAGTCGGTATCTAAAGTTGGCACTCTTTTATTGTCCTTTTTCTCAAGGCGCGTACGTTCCGGAAAAATAAATGAGGTGTTACGTTACGTTAAATTGTGAAATATTCATTGAAAACAGTTCTCGTTTCGTAAGTTTACGTAACTCGGGAGATTCGATCGCTGGATTAAAGGATTTAAAAAAACAAAAAAACAAACGTGTTTCAAGAGGACACCATAAAGTCTTTGTGTTTAATCTTTAACCCGTTTCTTTTTTAAGGAAACTCGAGGGGATACAGTTGTAGTCTGCTTTGAAAACCGGATCAACTGATTACGCTTCGATTAATCACTTGCTCAGGTTATCATAAATCGCACGTTGGGTTCTTATTAACCCGAGAGTGGTACTACGAGATGCAATACATCGTTTCTATGGCGGTGGTCCCGTTAGGTTCTTGGCACAACAACCGATTGCCGTATCGGTATCGATTTATTCCCGTGCCGATCGAGTTCGATTCAAGCCGCTCCCTGTTTTAATCGAACGGATCGATTGTACATACCGAGGAAAAACCAGGGGAAATCATGACCAATTCGATCGTCTTCGCGGTGAGACTGACGATTTGAAGAGCTTCAAACTATTCGCAAATTTCTAGAGAGATCCAATGTCTATTGACAAATTTTTTTAAAACGTTTAGATACTATCTAAACTTTCGAATAGAAATGTATATGCTACATTTTGAAGAACACCACTTCAGAGTGAGAATTCGTATCAAAGCGTTCAAAATTTGGAAGAAATGAAAACAATAATCTAAGAAAATCAATACAAAAATGTTAATAAATGCAATGATCCGTACCACGTTTTTCCTCAAATCATACCCTCGTGAACGTGTATTTGAGCAAAAAGTCGTATACAAAAGATTTCAAAATTGAGTATACATGTATTCTGAAATTTGTATACTTGTATACTAAAATGCCGAACGCAATTGCATAGAAAATTTCAAAATATTGTACCTTGACAAAAATTCGACTATATGTGTGTTATATTTCGAAAGCATATTTTTCACAAGGTGAAAATGTAATTATTTCTGCACTAGTATATATCTTATGAAAAAAAAAGTTGAGATTAAATTAAATCTGATATTAATTTTCGCAAATCTAGATTTTGATGGGCCTTCCATTGCTTGAGCATTGATTTCACGTGATAACATGTGTGAAGCTTCCAAGTTTACGTTCTCACGAAAACATTTCCCGAGAAAACCCCGTTTAGATTCTGGGGAAAGATGGAGTCTCGAATGAATTTGCATAAGGAACTCAACGGAAAAGCCGAAACTTTACGTACGCCTGAGGAAACGAGCAAACATTGCTTTCCTCAAATTCGTATATCGCCGTGAGTTTCTCTGGTTGTAAAAAGCTCCAAAGCTGCAAAACGGGGCTGCTCCGAGAGGAAATTCAAGGTCGCGGGAACTGAAATTCAAAGGTCCCACACAAGGTCCAGATTGGCAATTTTTCGCGACCCGAGTGGAGGGAAAAGAAATTGCAATTTGAAATTCCGAGAAACGATAGAATTTTCTGACGGAAACCGAGCGAGTCGGCATAGGACGCGAAATGACTTGTCAGCTTTGTGAAACGTTCGTTTGACTTTAGAAAGAAAAAAAAAAAAAGGGACGACGACCATAGGCTCTCTTGACCGATGGTCGACCTAATTTCGCCGATTTTGCAATGGTGGATTTAATGCGAGTCAAACCAAGCCCTGTTGCACGGATTCACCGGCGATTTCATCTCTGTGAATCTTTCGAATCCGTTGCAGTGAAATTGTTCGTGTCGGAAGTCGATTGTTCTCGCGCGATGAGCACGATAATTCAATATAATTAGAAGAGTTCTTCTGCGAATGTTGGAATTCCTTATTTCTGCAGAGTTAGATAAATTAAGATATAAACGAAAGAGTTCATCCAACTGCAGAATCGCATGTTATCAGTTCAACAGCGGTCTGAGGCTTAATTAGTAACGGGATGAATTTGAGAATAATTATTATAATTACTGATATCGAGGTCACTTGAGTATTGTTAAGAAAATTGACAAGGCGCAATTTTAACATGTACAGACCGTATCGCAATAAATCTGTAAATGTGCATTTCACAACTGTGAGACATTCTGGTTGCTACCACTTATAGAAAATGTAGTAACAATAAATGTAATACTTTTCTAGCAAAATTAGAAATTACTGTAGCACGCAAGATGACTTTTATCCCCAGAGGTTACGACCTAGAGATCGCACACAATAGATCGCACGCAAATCACCGGCTATAACAAAGCTACTTTCTCGGGCATGATCTTAGGACAAATAATGGTAGAAAGACACTTTGGAAACATTACGGTGAAAGCAGTCTACAAGTCAAATTAATGCAGGGCATTAATCGGGTCAATATTGGGCTGCCGCACTTTCTCGTCGTCCATTATACCATTGAACCCGATTAGCAAGAGGACAACTTGAATTCGTCATCTTTGAACATCCAGTTAATATCGCGCTTTCCCACGCCTAGGTCTCTCTCTCAGAACTTAACTCAGAATTTACGGCAACGATCCTAAATGTCAAAAGCCTTGCAAAATCCCTGCATCCCGTGTGACTCCATTTAAGCATCCAAGATTTGCGCCACACATTTTTGCTCGAAAAAAGTAAGCGTTCTCTCGCTTTGAATGGTTTAAAAAATCGAAAACCATTAGTGGCGTTAATTTGAAAATCGTTGCCGCTACCCTGTGTCCTCGTTAACCGATTAAGAATCCTTTCAGCCCCTTCGTTTCTAATTATAAGGAACAAGATTAGAGCCCATACCACGGAGGTCGTTAGAGAATTAATTAATTCGGCGTTGAAAAAGGAGGAACACGTTTTGCGAGATTAGAATGATTCTTTTTTTTACGATACTCGAGGTGCTGGGTGAGGCCGAAGAGATCTGTTGGCTCGTCTTCACCGTTGCGTTTCGCTTAAATTTCTTCCGTGCCTTTTTTCTTTCTCTCTCTCCCTCTGTAAATCCCGCAAACGCGTACAGCACCGTTAACTGTTAAGGCCACTCCTCGGGTTCTCCGCCGTAAGAGCGGAGTGCGACGCAAATTATAATTTGCCTTGCCGTTCGAGCGACCCTAATTGAATTGCTCGCTAATGTGGAAGAACTTGTCTGTGATTTAGCGTTAATTCGGCAAAGTCGTCCCCTACTTATCAGACTGCTTCTTGAATATTCATTTAACTTTCCCCGATTAATCTCGGGTCGATCGCCCTAGGTCTTGAAACTCTACCATAGAATTAAGCGTTTCATAAGTAACCAACAATTAATACCGAACGTACGAGTCGTGCGATAAATGATTCTTGCCTGTTATCAAACTCCATTATCTTTCATATAAAATTTCTGTTTATTCTTAACCCACATTTTGGAGTTTTTGAGCTTGAATTGGATTTTAATGTTAGGTCTACTTTCACGGCTCGCTGGAAATTTTCAGTTCGATATTGTTCATCAATAATAGTGAAAAGTAACAAAACGGAAGTAATGAACACACTTGGGGTTCGATAACAATCTAGAACCCAATAAATATCTGCGAGTGTCGCGTTTTCTCTCCTTCTAAAGCCTCGAATATTAAAACGATTTATCGGTTGAAGGGAACGACCCGGAAGAGGTGGGGAAAAAAAAGAAAAAAAAACACGTAAACAGTAAGAGCCTATCGACGAAATAACGGTGGAAGAACATTTCGTCGACGAAATCAAATAGACCCGAAAGACCGGATGGCCTCGAAGAACTTGCTGACCTCTTGAGGTCACATTCCGGTACAAGAGACGCAGTCACCGGCAAAACGTTAAAGCTCTCAGGTGGAAATGCCTTAAGGTGCCTACACACGACAATGACCGGCGTGTAAACAAGTTAAAATAAACAAACTTCCAGCATAAAACGGTAATTCACAAATTGAAACCCATCTCCCCTAATTTTCAATAAATATCTGAAGAAAACTCAACAACCTCTCGAGGGAAAGAATTAAATGAAAAAAATGTTAATGAAATTTCTAGATGTAATGAGGAAGATGTGAGGATGATTTTTGAGAGTTGGTGTTGAAATGCAATCGACCAGGTGTATGCACCTTTAAAGACGGAGGAGAAGTGCAAGGCGTGCATACTCACGATGTATAACACGGTGCTCGTACACGTACCGTTACGGGAGCGCCCGTGGCGATGCTAATGGCAGCATTAGAGTCATAAATGAACCGTAAAGGGTTCAATAACTTTGTCGAAAGTAAGAGCCCTTTTACCCCGCCTGCCGCAAGAAACTTCGGTAAAATCGAGCCGCGTTTCAGGGACTAAAAGGGCTCAATAATGATTGCAGATTTTTAAACGACGGACAGACATGATGGAAATTTCTCTTCCTGCATTCAGAGAGTATTGGGATTATTTAAAAGAAGGGGAATAAATTACTTTTTGAAATGGGTTGTTATGCGTTGTTATGGCTGACTTACCCAGAGATGGTGGTTTTCCTGTAAACCGAGTCGAAAGGGTCGTCTCTCGAAGTGTCGAGATTCTCCTCCTTCCTTCGGTCACCGACACCGAAATCGTGGAACCTCAGCGCCCCGGTGTTTGAGAAATCCGGCTGCATCTGCATTCCTACGTTTCGAGATTTCTCAGCTCCGAATCGAAATATCTTGACGGTGCGCATTATCTTCGGACATACCTCAATGAACGAGGAGCTCAAATCGCGTTTCCTCTCTTCCGATTACGGGACAAGACTACTTCGAAAACTTCCGAAGACCTGGGGGTCAAAATATTTTGGAACGACTTGGAGGACAGGCTGGACGGGTTCTTCTGGCGATTTCGATACCTGGCAAGGACGAGCTTGGAGCAGCAGATACGTCTTTCTTTACGTGGGAAACAAAAGAAGACACGAGAAGACAAAAGAAGATTGATTTGCAAATATGGATCCCTGGGCCAAGGGACTCGAAACGTTACAGCTACTTCGTGCGATAGAAATTATTAATTTTACTTCTCGTCATTTGACAATTCCTTTACATCTCGGCGAATGATAATGGAGATTAAAATTTATCGGCGTCGGCTTGATGAATAAATTATGTACGATTGGGTACACGAGAAGAAATTTAGCGCTCTGAAGTTCCACCGATTGTAAGACCGATCAGCTTTCGACCAATTACGTGCCAGATGGAGGAGAAGGAAAGTGTCGGGATTGGTTGCCAGCTGTTCACTTTTAAGAGTCTTGTTTCTTCTAAGCTGCAAGATCGGTTCTCGGAAACTGCTTTCTCGCGGTTACATGAGATGTATTCTTACGTCTAGACTACGGCATTTACGTGATTTTTGTTGGTTTACTACTCGATTCTGGTGGTCTTTCTATGTTTTATCCCACCTGTTGTTTGCCGACGCGTTTTTTTAATATTGTTTGCTTACGCGTTCCTACTCGTTGTTAATTACCTATTCCGGGAAGGCCCTCATTTCGCAAGCCATTCAATGGTAATGAACCTCGAAATAATCCAAAATCCAGCAACATTGTCAATGGGTCAAATCCTCGACAAAAGAAACCAACTGCGATGGAATCTTGGCTTTAAAAGTAAGCGCCGTACTGAATAAACGATTAATCGTGAGATCTTTAACTCGAAGGTGATGTAATCAATATTTATCGAGCACTTTAAATTTCTAATGGACCGTTTCCTTAAGACATCATTTAGTATGTCAATCTGCGGTGACCGCTTCGGCCGGTTCCCAATTTGAATACATTGCTTAGGCCACTTACCCTCGAAATTCTTTTTTCAATCGTATTCAAAATTATTCGATTCACCGTGAGGCACAAATAACAAAAAAAAAATAACATAAACGCATGTTCATACTTAACAATTCTTTACAAATGAATAAATTATTGTTTTTTAAATTTCCCTTCATCTCGGGTACATTAAGTTAAGATCGAAACACGATGACTTCGGTACGTACATTTACGCAACTAATAATTAAATGCATGCAGCGAATTACGCATTATCCGTTGTTGGAACGGTGCAACGGACAGAAGATGGATTGTTGTAAGAAGTACACGAGCAATGTCCGCATTTATTACCGCTAACAGAATAGCTCGATAAACTCGTTCCTCGTCCCAAATCCGACAAGTTTTGGGTCAACCTGTAGACCTTCTTATATTATAATCCATTCTTATTCAGTAGGGAAGCCGTGGGCGGACCTGTCCACGCTCCCAGATTCGTTGTCAAATTTTTTCCTATACCCTGATGAGATTTCTTACACTCGCCTCTTTTTACTATGACTCGGCATCGGTTTGACAAAAGGGACGCCAACGTTCCGAAAATAAATTCCCATGCAGAGGCCCTGGTGAAATAAAATAAGGGATTTCAATTGTGTCGCGCAAATAAGAAGCAAGGTGCTTCGGGTTCGAAATCGATGTCTCCTGGTTGATTACCATGAAGGAACCTATCCTCATTTGCAAAACCATCTTACATACAAACTGCTGACGATATGTCTCCTTAACGTAATAACACACCACCATGGAAACGGCAGATTTGCATCTATTCGATTATTATTCCGGGTGCATGTCAAGTATACTTTGCTTTCGTTGTGTCTTGTCAGCCTTGTGAGTCAAGTCGAGGTTGCGAAGTAGGTTCGACAAATCTCCGCTGATTTTACAAACGAAAGTCGTCCGATATGGCACGGTGACAGAAACAAAGGACGTTATCTACTGAAACAAAGAACCTTCGACTGTCGCGTCTCGGACTTTACGAATTCGTAAGGCCGCCTCGAGAAAGCCTCGATCTGCACTGATTAACATTAACATAAATTTTCTTCCCCTCTCAAGGACTCGGTCCTATCGTAACTCCTGATATGCCTTATAGTGTGCGCTTCTAGTAAAGTATGGTTCACCTCGAAAATCACCGAGACGCATATTAATTGTTCCGACGTTAAAACGTTCCACAAAATATGCTTCTATAGGATCATTTAGCGCGGTCCTTGTAGACTTTATGCCATCCAATGATCTGCAAGGAATTAATTTTATTATATTATGGTCAAGGTCCGATGGGTTTATTTTCACGTGGTGGCTTCTCACGCTTCGTACGCTTCTTGGGAAAGGTCATGGTACAAGACCATCAGGAAACCGCATAATCGCGTAATTCAAAATGCCTACCGTTTATACAGTGTTCCGCTAATTGACGTGCCTGGTTGGCTATTTTTAAAATAGTTATTATATGCAACAGTAGAACAAAATTCCCTAGGATTTTTCAACTTCAATTTCGACAAGGATAGTGACGTGTAAACTGTGGGTACGAATTCTGTTGCACCCTATATAAAATCTCGGAATTTCGTGAATTCTTTGCTACAATATTGTTTAATTATAATATCCGATCTGAGAACCGTACATGAAAGTGTTCTAAGAAGGATTCACTTAAATGTTTTAACTTTTCATTTTTCAACTTAGTGGCGCTACCATCTGATGTTTATTCGTCATTTCTTGTGCGGTATCGACGGAGGTAGTAAATGCAGGTAACTGATTAACCGAATAATATTTTTACATTTGCATTTTAAAATTGATCATATAATAATGATTATTACAAGATTTGCACATTCTTGCTGTTATGATGTTATTTCATTAGTAGTTTAATAAAAATAAAAATGTTTCCCGATTTAGAAGATTCCACCTTTACCGATAAACAAATGTGGAGAGATCTCTGTCGATACGCGCTGCGAACGCAGGAACAGTTTTATTCCTTCAAGTTGGTACTCTTTGAAAGATAGTTTTTCGACGCCAACGCGCGTTGCTGAGGTTTTAGGTGTCATACGGCAACGTTTTCTGACATTATCCGAAAGTAATTTAATTTCTACTTGAACAATGGCGAATCCAAATTTAACTGATATGACGGAAGAAGATGCAGCCGATCTGCAGTTTCCAAAAGGTATGATTAAATAGATTAGGAAGGCGAATAATCAGCGCGATTACCGTTAGAGGTTAGGTAACTTCGTCCTTTCTTAAGAAGGGTTGTATCATGTATAATCCTGCATAAGAGTTCGAAAATACGCAATTAATGACGCTACAATGTTGGGTTTTTGCTTCAAATGCTTTTAATTCGTATTTCAATGCTTCGGCGGAGTCTAAAGTAATGATTTTCTTGCTTTCAGACAATGCGTCAAGTAAAGCGAATGAGAGTGAACTTGAAGTAGAGCTCGAGGTGTCAGTTGAGAAGGAAGAGATCGTTACTTCAGACCCCGTATGTGGCATCTGCAAGTCAACCTTAACAGAGCCGTACATACGTTGCGCTAAATGTAAAGACATCAACATATGCCCATGTTGTTTCTCAAAGGGCTCGGAGATTGGAATGCATAGGAATGATCATGATTATATTATTGTAAAGAATGAGTTCCCCATAATTGAGAATAGTGGTTGGACGGCAAAACAGGAAATAGAATTGCTAGATGTTTTACAACAATGTGGTTTTGGTAATTGGATCGACGTGGGTAAAAGGATGGGAGGCAAATCCCCAGAGGAGTGCAAGAAACATTATTTGCAACATTACATTGAAAATCAGACTCTTCCGGGATTACCTAAAATGAGGGAGTCCGAAGTTGCTATATTCGGTGCTGAACCCATCCCTTATATGTTTAAATTACAAGATGTCGAAGAGCCTCCAAGGTTTGCTCGGGATACACCTAGTAGCAGATTATTAGCTGGCTATAATGCTGCCAGATCAGATTTTGAAGTGAACTTCGATAACCATGCGGAGCTACTCATTTCAGATTTAAAATATAATGAATTCATTCCAGAAGATAATTATTATCGTCTTGGTACGGAGTTACAGGTAGCTATTGTGAAAGCATATAATCACAGACTAAGGGAACGAATGAGACGCAGAAGAATTGTACGGGAACATGGATTGATTACTCTTAAGCGAACGATGTTCTGGCTGCTGAGATACGATTCGACTATACCACGGCCTATTTTAGAGCGATTATTAGTTTTTATGCAATTAGTTAGTGGTATCGAGTTTGATTACATAATTGAAGGCCTGCATCGTGCGGGAGAGTTGAAAAATTATATAAACAAACTCTTTGAACTGCGGAGTAATGGCTTGAAGAGTTTCCACAGCGTTTCAATGTTCCAAAAGCTGACTAAAGTGAGACTAGAAAACGAGAGAGATCGGAAACAGTATTTAAATAATGCCGAATATAGTTGGAAAAGTATACTGCCAGATGGCGACCAAAAAGCAAATTCTTCTCCAGTAATCAATGTCCCGCAGCGGAAACCACCTCCACCTCTGGACATCAATGGCCTTCCTGGATATGATAAACTTTTGCCAGTCGAGAAAGACCTCTGCTCCTCTGCCAGAGTTGTTCCAGCAAGTTATCTAGAATTCAAACATCTTTTAATAACAGAGAGTAAAAAGTGCGGCTCATTACGATTGGCTCAGGCGCGGACGCTTTTGAAAATTGATGTCAACAAAACTAGGAAAATTTTTGATTTTTTAACGGAGCAGGGATATATTAATAAACCTTCTCAGTGATACTATAATTAGTTAGTCTTACATAATATTATTACACGAAGCACGTGATCTGCTGTACCAACTGTGATAATAGTTTAATAGGAATGATATATAATTTAGTATAGCTATATACATAAGATGTAATAACTCGTAAAATCGATATACTACTAGCAATAAGTCTATAAATAGGATCTGCTTATGCTGTAATGCATTGTCCCAATCTGTATTAAAAGAATAATCTATTAAAGTCACGCAATCCATAGTTAACCAAGAGAGGTCTTATTGTTTCCAGCGATACTTGAGGAATGAGTCACTTATTTTATTTTGTACAATTCAGATAGTACTCTTTAAGCCTCCGTAATCAATCCCAAAACAATTAAAACACTTTTGGTACCTAATGAGTTTTCCTCCTAGGGATTCACTGGGATCAACTGCTCGCTTGGAGTACGTTTTAATATTCAAGCTCTGTTGATCTGTAATTGCACGTCCAAGATCTACATTTATTTTGTATTTATTATTTAGAATCTCCATTCGGAGATTTAAAAATGACATCACTCCCGGCATCTAATAAGGCCGTACCTGCTGGGCATTTATTGGTAATCGATTTGTCTCGGTAGATCTTGGCACGCAAAGGCAGGACGAAGTGACGTGCAATTAAAGGAATTCATAGACCGAGGCAAGCCGGTAATTACGCGACACGTGGCGATGAAACGTCATCTCATTACTACGTGGCGCCGTATAAAAAGAGCCGCTTTTAATAATCGGACGCTCCACGATGGCAGGAAAGCCTGCAATTCGCGCAATTACCGGCCTATTGACAAAGCGATGAAAGAACCGCAGCTCAACGTCCTCAAAGTCGAGCTCTAGGAAAACAAACCGCAGAAACAAAGCAATGTTAAGGGGATGTGAAAGTGGCATCCGAAGAGTCAATCGTTAATGAAATTTTTTCTTCAAACTTGACGTACCGAAACATTTCAAGCTTTGCAGCGTGAACATGGAGGCTGTAACAAAAGGTCCTGATACCCACAAAATTTCATTTTTTTATCTAAAATATTATAAATGTCTATGAACAAATTAAAAAAAAAAATAGAAATTTAATGGGTGTCGGAACCTTTCTTATAGTTTCTAAATTAACGATGTAGAGTTCGAAACGACTCGGTACACCTAGTTCGGAGAAAAGTTTCATAAAAGAGACCTCCTTGACGCCACTTTCACGTAACCTTAAGGCTTTAATGCTGCAGATTTTGGATTATTTTAATCAGGCATCAGGCATATTCAATATTGACGCGGCTCTGAAATCTCAACCTCGGCAAATCAATCGGGTTTTATCGCATTATATCTTAACGTGTCTCGATGGCATTAAATCGGATGAATTTTACAGAATTCGAGAACGCGGAAACCCTGCTGATCTCGGAAGTCCACATGCTGCTGGAGCACCGAAAAGCCCAAAACGAGTCGGCGGAAGAGGAGCAAGAATTCTCGGAGGTATTCATGAAAAGTCTGACCTACACAAACCGCTTCCGGAAATTCCGGAACAAGGAGACCATTGCTGCAGTAAGAAAGTATGTGGATGGGACGGGAATGTGAAACGCTCTTGAGGCTATCTATTTGATACGACTTAATATCCATTTCACTTTCAGCCTGCTGATGCAGAAAAAGCTTCATAAATTCGAGCTCGCCTCGTTGGCCAATCTCTGCCCGGAAACTCCCGAAGAAGCGAAATCCTTAATTCCCAGCCTCGAAGGCCGTTTAGAAGACGAAGAACTCAGGACCATCTTGGAAGATATTCAAACGAAACGATCCCTGCAATACTGAAGTTATCCCTCTCCTATTCTCCAGCCGATTCGTTGCAGAATTCAATCTAGGACCTGCGAAGTGTGTCTTACACGATAATAAACTAAGCCGATTATTGATCCTTCGGTATTTGCTATTTCGCATTCTGGGCGGATCATACTTTCGCATTTCTCGCGGATTCTGTGAGGTGCGAGAGAGACTACACGGTTGAGTCGGCAATTAAAAAAGAAATATTAAATGGCTGCCCCGTTGTTCATTAGTACCGTCGACATTGCGATAAAAGAATTTAGCGCTGTTGTTAAACAATCATCGCCGCCGTTAGACGCGACAAATCTCGTATATCATCCTCGTTTGCGCAATGAGTGAGTGATCCGTGACACAGATCAATATTTATCGATCAAAGCTTATCTCAAGATTGTTCGTCCCTGAGGGAGTTATCGATAGATCCGACGTGTCCCGACTTTTAAATCCGACATCGATCAGGGGAAAAGCCTATTGCATACATTTTTCACGCTACAATCCTTGCCCTCGAAATGCGCGATTAACTCCGGATAATTAATCATCCCAATGATTACCCCGTTTATTGCAACGGAAAATACACTTTTATTCGAAAAACTCATCCGAGAGGGTACTAAAACTTTTAAGGGTTAACGGTCGAGCTTAAAACATACTTAAAACCGGGCTCATTCGAGACGTCGGAGTTACACGACTTGGAGTAATTAATCCCAGGTCTCGCGTCATTTGCCGGTGTCTGGAAAGGACATAATTATTTTTAACGACCGCGCCACTTCCACCCGCGCCTCCCGAAATGGCGAGACCGCGGCGAGGAAAGGCGGGAATAATTTCTGCGATGCACCCGGAAGCGAGGTGTATATTTTCCCATATAACGTTTATCGTGACGCGCGAAACCTGGCGCCAAATCCCGGTTTAGCCTTTGGAGAACGGCCTCAAGCGAAGGCCGGCGCCAGAGATGTCGGAGGTTTACCCGGAAGCGAGTCGGATCTCCCGGCGATTCGCGATCGCAGAAACGATCGGGCCTGATGCTCGAGGATTCCTTATATCCAGGTACACAAGCCCGACATTTCGCGGGGAGCAACGGCTGAAAGAAGACAGCTAATCGCGGCAACGACAACCGCACATTACGCCGGGGTAATTGCGTACGGTTGACTTTGCACGCGAGAACGGCTTCTGGCCCGTCATTATCATCCCACCGCTCGGCATTCGCCGGCTCGCTCCATGGCCGGGCCGTGAGGCCGGATTCCGCGGGTTTTTTTCCTTTTTCATAAATAAACCTCGATAAGGATCAATGACGCGAGCCACCTATGGTTTGCGACGAGCCCTAATGGGCACCTGTACGCCGTGGACTATTTTTAATCGGGACATTGCAGACTTATGACGGAGCAATGACTTTTTACGCGCTCAGGCGTCGTGGCATGCGTGATCGATGCGGAACCCGTGGTCGATGAGCCGAGGAAAGTATTTATCTGAAACATCGACCTATCTAGAGAGATCAACATTTGGAATAAATTACAACTCGAGTTGGTGATCTATCGATGAGTGTACGGGTACATCTTTATATTGTGATAGTAACGGAACCGAAGGAAGCGGTTTTCGGAGAGACGGCGCTGTTAGCGCCGGGAGGATCACCACCTCGGGACTTTAGAAGTCGATATCTTTTACGGGGGTTGCCCGAACCGGCACTGCTTCTAACTATGAAGACGTTCAGGAGGAGGGAATCGATTGGCGAACCGGTTTCATCGGAAACGCGAGCGATGATCGAACAATCGGCGGTTCTCGCGTCGAGGTCTTTTCGCCGGGCGCCATGTTTGAGCGTTGCTCCAGCTCGGCCGGTAACTCGGTGACCTGTAGCAGGGGCGAGTCGTGCCTTCGATGATTCGAGCGCGTTCCCTCTTTTACGACTTCGATATTCCGTGCAACAATGAACGGGCCGAGCTCGCAGCTTGATTTACGTGATGTCCGTCATAATTGTGCGCCCCGATGAAATTCCCGGCATCGTCGAATGCGCGTGGCTCGTTATTGTTGCACCACAAACGATTGTTTTATGGCTGAGCTCGACGTGGACACGCCATCCGATCGGCGAGACGTTAGCAGCGATCTCCGGGAAGTCGTCGGCCTAACAATCAAAGCGTTTCGCATCGCCTGGCACTATCTGGACAGCGCCACTCGGCCTCCTCTTATTTTCAGTTCTGGTTCCAATAGCCGATATGCAAAATCCGAACGGATGGCCGATGCTCGTATCGCCGTTCGACTTCGCCATGTGAAAGGAGGGGTGTCGGGGCTAATGGAAAACCCTGAAAATCGAAGGTCGATCCGCCGTTCGGCCGTTCATTTCCGCGACCAACTCCAGCTGGGGGCAATCCTCGGATGGTTTATCTCTTGGCCCGGGAGCCGATCGGTTCTACCTCGGTTTTCCTGAAAAAGAGAGAAATAGTGCTTTTCCTATCAAAACACCTACTCGTTAATTTCCTATGTGGCTTGGATTAAAAATGGCGCCGTGGCCTCTCGTTTTTAATCGAATTCAATTTCGAAAAACGTCGTTTCCTTGCACCAGGATACAGGGGAAGGGTTAAATTTCATTTTCATCGGCGATTCAGGAAAATGTTGTAGCTAAATTAATTCGGCCCTGAGGGAAATTCTCTTCGGCTAAGTTAACGTTATTCGCGGTCAATTTTTATACCGCTCTTGGTGCATCGATTACTTTTCCCTGTACTCCAGAGTGCCGTGGTTGGAATCGTCGTGTTGTTTTTTTGCGGCATGTGTCAGGAATTTAAGATCGCCGGGGGAATTCGAAAAAATACGAGACAAGCCCTTCCTCGGCTCACGAAACGTCAAAGTAAAGTTATTCTAATGAGTTAGGGCACTGTAAGCCGCGGCTTAAGCCGGGAGTTGATGTCCGCATTTATAATCGACCCTTTAGTTTAATTGATGCTCAAGTGAGCTTTCAAACTAATTAAGGTGCGCTCACTCTGAATATCTTCAAACTCTACCGCCTACCGTAACTGTGCGAATGGTAGTTTGAATGATTTGAAATAAAACGAACGAGGTGAGGTAATAATTATCTGAGCCTTAAATAAAATCATAATTAACACATAATTTCCAACCACTCCAAGGCATAATGATAAGCATTGCACGCACGTGATTTCCACCGCTTATGGAACTGATTAAAAAAAGAAACAGCCGTCATACAACATTGACGGTAAAATCACTAAATCAATGAGAATTATTAAATTTTACCATAATAATTACATTTAATAATTATTTTGCGAAATGCTTTTAGGAATTGTAACGTACTTCCATGTCACAAGAAATTCGACTTACAAGAAAATCTTTTCTCTCTGAGCATCCCTAAGAATGATTATTTTGTTGAACCATCGTAGAGAATGCTTCCATATTCAATTCATTCGTGATAGATAAAAATAAATCCTGTCTATAACGATCGTTTCGACGACCTAGACTGCGCGGAGTTCCTCGATTTTGAGATTTCGAGCTACAGAGTGCGGAAAATCAAATTTTCTCGTTTCGCTACGTGCTCCGCCTCTTCTGGCCCTACGAGAGCGTTTCCTTCCTTATCGACGGACGTCGCTCGTCCGAGGAAAGTGCCGGCGTCGGAAAGCGTCCCGACGTCTCCCTCGACACCCACCGTCCTCGCGCGCTCGATCGACGTCGAGACGTGCTTTCGAATAAAAGCGGCGGAACGGAGCAACAAGTCTTGCGCGACTCCATCGGTAATCGATGCGCCGATTTACATAATACGTGCACGTGCGAAGAGGCGTCTCGGCTCTTGCTATCGGGAAAGCGGAAGAGGATCGAAGCCCTCGTGTCATTCGCTCCGCGGAACTCGCGGGTGTATACAGATGCGTCGTGCGACGCGTGACGTCACCGCGCGAGAGTGAAGTCCGCGTCGCCATTGCGAGGCGATCTGGATCCCGAAGAATTTCATACACCGATCCCCGCCACGATTTCCATCCGTCCGCGAAGAGGTCCAGGTCTGCCAGCCGATTTCCCTACGCGAAGGGACTATCGTCTCGTGATTGCGCGAGTTTACCGACGGAGCGGGTAAGTCGAGGGTCCACATTTTCCAGATATCACTCCACGTAATCGAAATCGTTCCATTGCGCAAACAAGAGCGCCCGATCCACTTCCAAAGGTCCCCGAGCACGGTGCGGCTAGTTTCTCCCGTTTCGCGATTTGAAAACGCCCGAATTTCGTTAAACGCGGCATTTTGAAATCGATCATCACGGGAGCGTAGGCTCGAGCCGGGCCGGCCAATGGCGCGGCCCGGCGGCGGCGGTGGGGGAGCGCGCGGCGCGTTCAACCGCGAGTGCGCGCGCAGGCGGCGTCACGTGTCGGCGGCGGCGCGAGCACCGAGCGCCGAGGAGAGCCGAGAGTAGCCGAGGGGGTGGCGCCGGCCGAGGTTCGTCGGCGCGCGGGTCAAAATATATGCTCAGTGTATTCGAAAGGAGCATGCGACGCGCTATCGCGTTCCCCTCGGTTGAGCGCGGTGCCTCCAGCCGTTGACGGGGCGCGCGATACGGGCGGCCGACGCGGGGTCAGTGGCTGCGCGCTCCCGGAGGAGGCCGAGCGGCGTTGAGCACCGCTGACCGGTCCGAAGGCGGTGGCAGGAGAGGAGGCTATCGGGCCTGCGCGGCGCGCGCCTTGCGCGCCTAGCCCGGCCGATTCGCGCTCGCGGCCGAGCGGCGAGCGTCGAGCGCCGACCGCCGACTGGCCGCCGCCGACCGCCGACCGCCGGGAAATGGATTTTCCTCGGGCCGGGAAAGGCGAATCCTCCCGGCGGGCGCCGCGCGCGCTGACCAGGACCGCCAGTCGCGCGTGTCGCCTCGGACCGGACGAGTGAGCTCCGCGCGGAGTGACCTGTCCCGGCGGCCGACGTAACCTCCGCGCACGCCGCCCGATAAAGCGTCTCGCGCCTTCGTGCCCGTGCCCGAGCAGTGCGCGCAGTGCCGCGGCCCGCTTCCGAGCCGAGGGACCAGGGGGGGCGGGCCGAAAGTGCCCCCGAGGACGCGCGCCGACCGTCGCAAGGCCACGGGACCGTCTCTGGAATTTCGACGAGACGGGGGCCGAGTCCAGGTGAGTGCACACGAGGGGATCGCCCTTTGGAGCGTCTCGCGACTACGACCCCGGGACTCGCCGACGTTCCCGGATTAAATGCGCTCTTCGACGCACCGTCGATTTATCGTTCTTGGAAACGGGCGCCGTCGTTGTTGTCGTTAAGCAACCGGGAGATCTCCCCGGGAACACCCACCGCTCTCTGCATACTCCGCGCTATCGTTGCGTGTTTCTCGACTTCCTATCTCGCGCTTTTCTAGTCCGCTCCGAATTCACGGATGGTCCCTTTGGCTTCGCGAGTGGAACTTACGCGCACCCTGTTCCGGGACGAGGTGGAGGGACGCGCGTCCATTTCCTGGGGGTCGGGAGATATCGGGAGGGTTCCTAAGAGCTACGAGGAGAGTCGGTCCACGATCGCGTACCCCTTGGACGAGCGACGACCTTCGCGAGGCCCTGGGGCCCGGGATAGGAATCCGCAGCCCGTTGGACGAGTCCTGCCGCGTGAGGGATCACGCGTAGAGAGGTCGACGAGGTCGTTGTCGCTTCGGGGAAATTCTTTGAATTTTCGGACAGCGTATTCCTTTGTCGGGGCCGACGGATTTGACGGTACCTCAGGGACCACGCGGTTTTGGCTTCGACGGGAAAGACCGGGAACGCCGTGACTGCCGGACGTACGACGACCTTCGCAAGGCCTCGTGTTGCGGGATTGGAATCTGCGGAATTTCGACGCGCTGGAGAGACGAGGCCAGGTAAGGAGAGGACTCGCGGGATTATACTTTGGAGGAACCTGTATTTCGGGAGGGACGATCTAATCTAGGCTGCGGGATAGGCATGCTCTGGAAAAATTGGGTCCTTCGGCAGGACGATGCAGCTTCAAGGGTATGGGGGACAGGTGGGTAACGTGGGGCAAGTGTTACGAACGTTATGGACGTTTTCTAAAATGATCGGAAAGCCGGGAGAGGGTGGAAAAGCTTTTCGTTGATTGTAGACAACTCTTGGTACGCACGGAAGAAAAAATGACGAGGCGCTAAATAAAATTGTTTGACTGTATTTTGGTTGTTTTAGATAACGTTTTGGGGGAGGGAATCGAATTTCAGGTCCCTTGACCGATATTGTTTCCTTTGATTGGTCTGAAGCGTTTTGAATAAATTGTCTTGCTAATCTTAGAAATTATTTTGCTCGATCGATCAGTGGAGTAGATTTTTGTTGATTGTAGGCCATTCTTGGTACGCGCGGAAGAAAAAATGACGAGGCGCTAAATAAAATTGTTTGACTGTATTTGGGTTGTTTTGGATAACGTTTTGGGGCAGGGAATCGTGTTTCAGGTCACTTGATCGATCTCATTTGCTTCAATTAGTTTGAAGCGATTTAGATAAATTGTTTTGTTAATTTTATAAAATATTTTGGCCGATCGATCTAATGTTTAGGTTAAATGTACCGGGTTGCTTTAATATTTGGCGCGATATTTCATAGTTTTATATTTACCATTTAGACTGTACATTAGGTAAAACTGTGCCGCTTTTTATGTTTATTTACTTGCAATTTTCGATTTTATATATATCTCGAGGTATAATTTTTGTTTTTAAATACCCACTTTTTCAAATGGATAGGAAGAGTTAACCCGCCGAGTGTCACTATAGTGCTCATCACCGGTTGCAATTGCGAGGAAAACATTCGATATAAAAAAATAAAATTCATCCTTTATGAACTTTCAAGTTCTTAAATTGTAAACTGTCATTTAAAGGAAAATTCAGTTAATATATTCACTAGGTTTCAGTCGTTAAATTCAATCGATTATAGGAAAGAAAAACATAAAAATCGTTGCAGATGGCCTTAGTCTTCCATATTGAATGTACAATGTTGCTGCAAAAATCGGATGAACATGGTGAACATCTCGATTAGGACAGAGTGGTATCGTGGGGAGGACCTCTTCTGGTGATTACGTTATCATGGACGATAGGTCGAGATAGGTGATTGAGAACGAGTCGAGGCCGCGGAATTGTACCGAGTCTAGGAATGGGGTAGTTTGTTTGATGGGTGAATTTTGTTTTTAATTATTCCCAGGGTTGCATGACCTCGCTCTTGCAGCGACCAATAAGCCACAAGCGAGAGAAAGAGAGAGAGAGAAGGTAGAGAGGTGCGTATCCTCGGACGTACAATGACCTTCACAAGGCCCCGTGTTGCACGTAGGGAACATGCGGAATCTCGCGCCGTGTTCGCTGAGACCAGTTCGGACGAACAGTCGATGAACCTTGTTTATCCTTACACGAGACAATGGCGGGGGCGAAATAAATATTCCTCGCTACAAAATTTAGGCCAATTAATGTCAGACAATTTCCTATAAATTCTATTGTATGGTTTCGCAAATTCATTTCGATGAACAGTCGATGGACCTTGTTTATCATTACACGAGACAATGGCGGGGGCGAAACCAATATTCCTCGTTACAGAATTCAGACCAATTAATATCAGCCAATTCCCTATAAATACTATTGTATGGTTCTGCAAACTCATTTCGATGAACAGTCGATGAACCTTGTTTATCCTTACACGAGACAATAGCGGGGGCGAAATAAATATTCCTCGCTACAAAATTCAGGCCAATTAATGTCAGACAATTTCCTATAAATTCTATTGTATGGTTCTGCAAACTCATTTCGATGAACAGTCGATGGACCTTGTTTATCCTTACACGAGACAATGGCGGGGGCGAAACCAATATTCCTCGCTACAAAATTCAGGCCAATTAATGTCAGACAATTTCCTATAAATTCTATTGTATGGTTCCGCAAACTCATTTCGATGAACAGTCGTTGAACCTTGTTTACCCTTACATGAGACAATGGGCGGGGACGAAAACACATATTTCTGGTTATAGAATTCCGAACAGTTAATATCGGACAATTTCCTGAAAACTTCACTGTATAATTCCACAAACCTCTACCAGTGAACAGTTGATGGGCCAAGATTTATTCTTACAGCAGGTATTAACATTGGTGAGAGAAATATTCCCAGTTATAAAATAGGGATCCACTAGTATCGGGCAATGTCCTGAAGGGGGACTTCAACGCATGGTCCTACATACCTCCTCGGTTCGGTCGACAGTTGACGAACCTCGTTTCAACCTCATACAGGACAATAGCGTTGTCGAAAGAAATATCCCCTTTCAGGAAACTGCCACCAGCTAGTGCCGGGGAATTTCTCGAAGATGTCGACGCGCGGTATCGCGCGGGGCCATTCCAGTGCACAGCGAACGATCGAATTTTGTTTAATCTCTGCCCGTGGCAATAGGGCTTACAAAAAATCTATTTTAAACGGAATTCGTGTGGAATTCGGATCACCTGGAATACCGAAATATCTCCCCATAGATTTCGTCGCAGCCGAAATCCGTGCCTCTGGGGGCAATCGATGGACCTCGTTTCTCGGAATTTAAATGTCCCCGAAAAATCGATGCGACCTGGAATTTGGGTCGCTTCCAGAATACATCGAGGGCTTCGCTATTATTAGGAATAGGGCAGAGGCCACCTACGGATCATTAGAGCCTAACCACTCGATCAATCTTTTCGGCCGATCGTTGGAGTCGAGCCTTCCTTTCTTGTTTCCCGTTTGCCCTCCCCCCGTTTTCTCTCGGGTTCCCCTCTTCGCGTTTCCTTTTCGGGGATTAACCGGCTAGGCGGGGAAAGAAGGGGGGGATACTCGAAAGTCGTCCATCCTCGGCTTTGGACGGCCTTCGCAAGGACTCGTGACTCAGGAAAGGAATCTCCGGAATACCGGCGCGACGGGACGAGTTCGGGACGGGTCCGGGACGGGTCCTGGAAGGGTCCTGGCAAGTCGACGGGCATGGCCGGACAGTGGATGAACTCTGTCGCGAGATAACCCTCTCCCTTGGAAATTGAACCATTAGCCGGGAAACTTGGATACCTCTACTTCGAGATCGCTTAGACTTTCCTCGCTGTTCAGGATCGATGGAGTGATGTCCTATTTCTTTTTGTTTTTTTTTGTGTTTATTTTCAAGACTTATTTAAGACTACGCAACTTCCACATACACGTTGTGTACGTATTCGTTAAGATCGTATGCATTACGTCGACGGTATTTTCCCGATAAAAAGATGCACATTCACTGAAGATATGTAGGGTGCATTTCTTCAGATTGTTCCTTTTCTTTTTCTTTCAACTCGGACTCCTTTCCTATCTTGTAATCAATTTTGAGGAAATATCAAATGTAGAGTATTGACGTCACGAAGAGCGGCATTCTGAAATTATTTTGGACATTGAGCTAGAGAGTGAAGACCAATTCGTCCAGCGGGAAGTACAAAGTCCTAACGAAGATTGTTGAAATAGGTGGTTTCGGGCGAAATGACATTCGACATCGTAATTTTGGGTCCCATTTGATTTCTCGTGAAATTCCGATCATGACTGATGTGTCGCTCGGAAGTGATGCAGCATCGTGATGTCGGAATGTCACTTTATCCAGAAAAATGATGTTATGTTGGCGCGTATATCTTGTTTAAAATTTCATCAAAATTGATTAACAATGTGAAATTGCCTTTCAAAATAGAAAAAAAAGCACGCCCTGTACACCTTCCACGTTGCCGAAACGAATTTCTTTTTTTCTTTTCCCCCTTTTTTTCTTGCTTAATTTATTCCAGCGTTTCGGTGAGATGAATGCGCGGTAAACGGCAGATACTTCCGGCAGATTTTTGTCCGACCGATGTTTATTCCTTCTTCCTTATTGCCCAACCCATAAATGAGCCCACTGGTTTCGAGCTGCTCGCTCGCTCGTTCGATCGATCGTAGGAAATCTGGACGACCGTTTCGCGTGCTGGTTCGCGGTATATAACTCCCATCGGCTCTAATAAGTGGAAGAGGTTTCGAAGAACCTGCGATTCTCGGACCCGGGCTCGTAGATTGAAAGGAATCGAAAGCCTTCCGCCATGCGGCCATCAGGGTAGAGCACAATCCTGCCTTGTGGATATCCTTTCATTAATTTTTTTCCCCACTGCATGGAGGTTATGGTCGGC